CTATTTTCTTCTTTATTAAGTTGACAGCTGCTTTACATTTTAATCCTTGACTTTGCAAGTCTTCAACAATGTCTTTTAGTTTAGATGTTAGATGGTAGACCTCTAACCATTACTTTAATATCTCTGTTCTGTTTAATTTCATAGGAATTCCAATTTAGATATTTGGCATTCAAGGTTAATATGACATTTCTGAAGTCTTCTTTTTGTTTAGTATTAATTTTAAACTGGTTATTGCATAGAGCTGTGGCTTGAAAGGTAAAATTATTTTCTGCCAGTGTATGGCGCAATTCTTCATACTTGATATTGCTTGCTATTATCGGGGGAAATTTCACTGTTTTTTTGACTGTTTTTTCTCTTGTTGATTTTTGCTACCTCCAGGTTGGCCAGGAGAGGTTTCTGGAGAAGAGCTGGCTTCTCGTTTTTTGTTTCTTCTATTGCTTCTACTTTCCGCTGTTATCCATTATACTTCTTTATTAATTTGATCGCCGATTTCCTTTGCTAGTTCTTCTTCATCAGTCTCATAATTCGTTAGACTTTTAGATTTTTCTCAGTTTAAGAGATTAATTTGTTTCTGTATATTTTTTATATAGTTTTGTATTTGTTGCAATGCACTTTCTAGTTGCTTTTTTTAGCTTTTTCCTGTTTCCAAGCATTGCACAATGCCTGTTCTGATTTCTAGCTTGATTTTCATGAAATAAGGCCTGATATTGTTCGGCTAGGAGATTTTCTCCTACTTCAATTGTTTCCATATATTATTCGAATGCCTCGAAAAATAATTCATTGTCGTAACTGGTCGTGGCTGGTGGAATATACTGGGTGAAGACTAACAACATAAAATTATCTTTCGAGATTTTGCAACCAACTATGTCGATTACGGGAAGAATATTTGTTATGTTGTCAACGTTGATTGATAATAATAATTATAAACAAATATACTGGACATATTCATCTGGAAAAAGTCACATAAAGACAATTGAAACAATTTGTGTAAAAATTTATGATTTCCAAGGAAATTTTGTGTCACGCATCAGAAATATTCTTTTCAAACTGTGGCAACCGTAACTGAATTATTGTTTTTCAGATGTAGAGAATAAAATTATTTTTTATTTAAGCTATGATTTATTTTAATAATAGATGAAGATAATAATTATCAAGTAAAATTATCTATTAAAAGCTGGCAGCTTGGGTAAAAAAAAAATTGGCAACCTGTTTATTTAAATAACGAAATTGGTGTTAGAGATTTCATGTTAATCTTTAAGCCTTAGTTATATTGTTTTTATGTACTGTTCGCTAGTTTTTGACTTTGGTGTAATGTCGTAAAAATAAAAAAGTTGTCAAGAGTAAAAACGGTGTATTTTTACATTAAAAAGTAAAGTCTTTGGATAACTGTGGCCTAAATACTTTCCAGCGATAGCGACTCTCCTACAGGTTATGGGCCCAGAAGGAATTAATTTAGAAAATATGTCGTCCCTTCCTCCTATTACCAAATTAGTAGGACGGGAGAATTATCAAGATTGGAAGTATGGCATGGAGTTGTACCTGAAAGATTTGAATGTATGGAATGCTGTTGATGGATATCCTCCTGATGACAAAACTGATGAGGCTACAAGAAATAGAAGCGACCAGAGAGCCTTAACCAAAATAGGTTTAATGGTTATACCTTGTTGTTATCCTCATATTAGGAGTTGCAAAACTGCTAAGGACATGTGGGGGAATTTAGAAAAAGCTTTTGAGGATAAAGGCTTAAATAGACGAGTTCGTTTGCTTCGTTTAATGTGCTCATTGAGATTAGAACATTTCACGTCTATGGAAACTTACGTGAATGAGTTTATGTCTATTCAAATGGCTCTTGCTAGTATGGAAAAGCCCGTAGAAGACGAGTTTCTTGGTGCTGCACTGTTAGCTGGTCTACCTTCTGATTATGACTCTATGATTATGGCAATAGAGAACTCAGGAGCTAAAATAACGAGTGATTTTGTAAAAACTAAGTTGCTTCAAGACACTCATTGGGACAATAAACAAAATAATTCTGAATCTGCGATGGTGAGCAAGTTTAAGCCTAAAAAGAAGAACCAAGGAAATATTAAATGTTGGGGGTGTGGTGAAGTTGGACATGTAAGGCCCAATTGTCCCAAGAAAAGGGCATCGGTTACTAAGCCAGACGGAGAAAAATCAAATGAGCAAAAATCTCTAGTAGCGGCATTTGGCGTTAAAGTCTCCAGCGGCGATTGGTTTGTTGATTCCGGTGCTTCCGCCCATATGACTTTCCGCAAAGATTGGTTTTCTGATTTTAACAACTGTACAATGAATAATATTGAAGTTACTGTTGCAAATAATTGTAAATTATTTAGCGAAGGCGTTGGTAATGTGCCAATAAAACTGAAAAATGAGAATAGCATAACAACAATTACAGATGCTATATTTGTACCTGGTATACATGTAAATTTATTGTCTGTAAGCAAGTTAGTTTCTAAAGGACTAGTTGTTGTGTTTGACTCTACTGGTTGTAGGATAATGAAAACCGAAAATTGTAAAATAGAAGGAACAATTTTTGCTGCAGCATCGAATGTAGCTGGTATTTATCGATTGAACATATCTGACGATGTTTCTAGTATTCCTAGTCAATCCTGTTTAGCTGTAAATAATGTAAATATTGATTCTCATGAGTTGTGGCACAAGCGCCTATGTCACTTGAATAGAAAGTCTATGAAACTATTAAAAAATGGCTTGGCAATTGGTATTTCTTTTTCCGATGATAATGGTAATGTCTGTATATCCTGCGCCGAAGGAAAGATGTCCAAGAAACCTTTCAGAAATAGAAATAAAAGAGCATCAGAGAAACTGGAACTTATTCATGCAGATCTTTGTGGGCCAATGCCTGTGCCGTCTTGGAGTGGAACAAATTATATGTTTACCCTGATAGACGACTGCACTAGAAAAATATTTGTCTATTTTTTAAAGACAAAAGATCAAGTTTGTTCAACTTTCAAAGAATTTAAAATAATGATTGAGAACCAAACGAACTTGAAGATCAAAAAATTAAGGACTGATAATGGTGGTGAGTTTGTCAATCATGCTTTGACTGAATACCTAAAGAATAATGGCATTTTGCATCAGTTGACTATACCGTACAATCCCCAGCAAAACGGGATTGCTGAACGAGTTAATAGAACTGTAATGAAAAAAGTTAGGTGTATGATGCATGAAGCAAAGTGTGACAAAAGAATGTGGGCTGAGGCTGCAAATACAGCTGTTTACATTATAAATCGTTCACCACATAAATCACTTCCTAACATAACTCCTGAGGAAAAATGGACAGGTGAAAAAGTAAATTTAAGTCATCTGAGAGTTTTTGGATGTGTTGGTTACGTCCATATTCCAGATCAGAAGCGAAATAAGTTAGATGCTAAAAGCAAAAGAATGATTTTCGTTGGTTATGAAGAATCAGGGTATAGATTTCATGATTTGGCCAACCCACAGAAAATCACAAGGGCCAGAGATGTTGTGTTTTTTAGAACATGAGTTTGGGTTAATCCAAGAAAAAGGTGATATACCGAGTATAACTCATAATGTACAGTATACCCATTTACATAGATGAAAACGTTTCTGAACCTGTAATTTTAAAAGAAAATCTAACCCAAAATACTGGAAACTTATTTTGCGAAGGGGAACAAACCGAAGAAGAAGGAGAAGAAGAAAGGGAGTTAAAAATTATAACAGTTCAAGAAAAAAGATATCCAGTAAGAGAAAGACACAAGAAAAATTTTGATGATTATGTAACTTATTACACGGAAGCTGATGATATTGATGTTGAGCCTAATGAACCAGACAGTTTAGTAAATGCTAAGACAATAATAGATTGGAAATGTGCCAAAAAAGTTCTGCGTTATTTGAAAGGAACATTAAACTATTGTTTGATGTTCGAACCAACAACTGACAAAAGAGTCACTGGTTTTGTAGATGCTGATTGGGCCAATCAAGAAACAGATCGCCATTCTTACACAGGATTTTTTTTTAAATTAGGAAATGGACCAATATCTTGGGAAAGCAAGAAACAGATTACTGTCGCTCTTTCGTCAACTGAGGCAGAGTACATGGCCTTAAGTGAGTCCTGCAAGGAGGCAATCCACTTAAGAGGTTTAGTTAAAGAGTTACTTGGCACTGAACATCAGATTCTTCTCTATTGCGATAATCAAAGTGCTTTAAAATTATCGCAGAATCCTGTTTTTCACAATAGAACGAAGCATATTGATGTTAGACATCACTTTGTTCGAGAAGTAGTTGAAAATAAATGGGTAGAAGTTAAATATATTCAATCCAATGAAATGGTTGCTGATATATTTACCAAAGGATTATCCAAACCTAAACATTTAAAATGTGTCAACGGGCTGGGGCTTGAAACTTTTTATGGCTTATGATTAAGGGGAAGTGTTAGAGATTTCATGTTAATCTTTAAGCCTTAGTTATATTGTTTTTATGTACTGTTCGCTAGTTTTTGACTTTGATGTAATGTCGTAAAAAAAAAAATAAAAAGTTGTCAAAAGTAAAAACGGTGTATTTTTACATTAAAAAGTAAAGACTTTGGATAACTGTGGCCTAAATACTTTCCAGCGATAGCGACTCTCCTACAATTGGGAAGTAAGTCAGACTGAAACTTAATTAATAATTATACTCCGCCATGCATAAAGAAGTTTTTTTGCTATAATTAAGTCATGTTAATCTACTGTATTTAGTAAAACAGTGTTACGAAAATAAATATTTATTATAAACGTCAAATCGTCTAAACTTCATATAACTAACTTCACACTAATCTAGAATGTTTAAAATATGTATCATTTAGCAGTTAGGTACTTAGGCACTTTTTAATTGATTGTCAAAGATTGTTGGTTTTCAAGAAAGTATGTTAGATTACATACATACATACACATAAATATATTTAGTTTTTTTTTCCAAAAAGAAAGTCATGACTCTTTAAAAAATTATTTTATTTTTATTTTCAGAATGAAACGTTTTTCTGACAGCAGTTTAATATGTGATAATCACTTATATAATGAAGGAGAAAAATTTACCAAAGTGGATACAATTGATTATCTTATGAGT